AACACAGCAGTCGCTCCGTGATAAGTTTGGATGGCCTTCTACTGAACTTGTTCAGCAGATATTGATCATACTGATGTCTTTCCTGGTGCCCAAACCTGGACACAGAAGTCTAGATGTGGTCTAAGATTCTTGTATTTCGCTCAACCTGCACCCCGAGGCATGGTAAGAGCATTTCCCTTGTTTTCATTGTGTGCGTGGCTGTTCTGGCTGCTTGGCATCCCAGCCTTGAAGTACTACTCTTGGTTCTGGTGGCTGTGGTGTGGGGCAACAGATCTTGGTCCTGGCTTTAAGAACAGGAGGGACTGATTTGGGCAGGCAACAAAAGTCTTTTTTGTTTGAACACTTACCTCAGTATCTTGTATTTTTCATGCAATACTGGTGCTTCACCGAGGCTGACTGAAAATGTTATAAAATACAGGCTCCAGTCTATGCCATGGAGGGGTTTGTCTGTGCTCAGTGGGGCTGTTGAGCTAAGCCATACTGAAGCAGAGATGCAAGGAACCCTTGCAGAGCTGCAGTAGTGTTGCCTGGGTAGCTAACAGTCTTCTGAGGGGAAGTGTAAGGGGTGGGTGTTCCTGTTGTCCAAACACTGGCCATTCCAGGACTGTTTTCCTGATGGATGGCAATAAGAAGATAACGTTTGGTTGCAGGAAACTCTGACAAGTGGAGAGCCTATTTGATGAGCATTTCGAAATTGTTGTCTTCCATTAGAGAATTTGGCAATCTTTTGTAAGACTCAGGTCAGAGCTGATGTTAGGTTGAACATTAGGCTGGTTTAGGTGTTCAGTATGGAAGACTGCATGTTGCGTTCTTTCCCAAGTAGTGTTGGTCATTGACCTGAATGCTCCCCTGTAACCTCTTGCAGGATGTGTCTGTGGCTGGTTCTTCTTGTACAGCACAGGAAGCCTTCTGGAGAAGTTTGAACCTGATGTGCTGGAGTGCCCCTTGGTATCTACTTCCAAGCTGAGTGAGCTTAATCTCAGACCTGTGTCCACACAACCAGGTTTTGAGGAACTGCTAGATCCCGCTTCATTCTTCTCACAGAAAGGGCATTCCCCAGTGTCTGCCCATTGCTTTTTTCAGTCGGGCAGAGCCATCTGCTCTGTTTCATGGAGAATCTGAGTTAAATCATGATTAGCCCTGATGCTGCGGCAGGGAAAAGGCACCACTGGTGAGAGCAGAAGAAGATTGGTGTTGCGATTCTTTGTTTTCCCTCCCTCCCTCCCTTCCATCACATGTTTTGTGCAGCATCATGATATCAGGTTCAGTGTGTGCATCTTGTCTGAATGTTAGATAGTGCTGCAGAAGTGTGAGTGAGAGCAGAGGTGAAGGGCTTTGCTGCCAGAGAGTTCAAAGAGGTGCTCGCTTCCTCCCTACCTAAGCTGGAACTCTTGGTCCTGCTCCCCCTCCCTTCAGACATAGCGCTTGTGTTTGTATCGAGTATAATGTTTGGCGTGCCTGTGCCAGGTCTGCCCTGCTATGTTGTGGAGGTGGTAGTCTGTTCTGAGTTCTCTGGGGTGATCAGGATACGGGTTTATAAATAATGTGTAAGTGAGAGTAGCCACTTTACAATCTTTATGTCTTGGACTGTGAATCTCTCCAGAAGTCATGAGCTCAGTTCCCAGTGGTACCACAGGCTGCTAGAGAATATGTGTCATCTCCTTAGCATGTGTTTTCTGTTTCGCATGAGACAAACATGTTTTGCTTATATATTGATGTCTATCTCCTAGATTATCATCAAATGGGTTTCATTTGCCACAAGTCTTGATTGAGGAATCTGGGCTTAAGCCCCCACCCAGAAACACCCACAATGCCTGAGCTACCCTGTCTTGGCCTGTAACGATGAACCGTTTGGATGTGATCTTTCACCTCCTGGAATAATCATGTAGGTGAGCATGTGGGACACACTAACACAGTGAACTGAAAAGCTAGAAGAACTTGAAACAACTTCTTTACTGACAGTGCCAGGAATATTTCTTGAGATGGATGCTATCGTCCTTTGTGTGCAGGCTGATGCTATGTCTGCATCTCCTCAAACCCCAGTTGGCAGGTTACAAGCATGAAGACAGTTATGCTCCTTGTAGTAAGGGCGTTAACAAACCATTAGTTAGTATGAGGTTAAGCAAGTATTTGCTTCTGTCCAACAATCAAGTGATTTCTCTCTGACATAAGTTTTCTGATGTGGGGTTCCTTGGCATTTGGGCCATTAAAGCCAACTACAGTTTCACTAGCTGTCAGTTTTATAAGTGAAGGTCTTTTGTGTCTGGCTTGCTGCTGTTGGTAAAGCGAGGAGAGGAAAACAGGTGAAACACTGTATCAAGAGGACAGAGGACTTCATTTAAACAAAGATCAGTAATACTTCAACAGAGAAATTGGTATCTTTCATTTCTAGGTTTTCATGGGATAAGACCTATGTCTCAGGTGGAATATGTGGTATTAATCTAGAAGAGAAGAGAAAATGAGATTTCAGTTGTAGCAAAATCAGTTTTGTAAAAGCTAAAATCTTCCAAAATAAGTGATCCCTTAAGTGTTCCTTCTAATATGTTTGTATTTTCAGCAGCCATCCCCATGTATCTCAACTTTCACAGAGAGACTGCAGTCACCAAAATAATGTAACACCATGGAAAACAACATAAAAAAAAAGCTAACCAATCGACAGTGGTTTGTAAACCCCTATACCAATCAGTGTTATTAGCTGTTGAGCTAATACCATACTGAAGCAGAGATACAAGGAACCCTTGAAGAGCTGCAATGATGTTGTCTGGGTAGCTAACACTCTTCTGAGGGGAAGTGTAAGGGGTGGGTGTCTCTATACCCATATGCAACTGCTAAAGAGAAATCTTTGAGGTTTTTACCCAATTAATAAATTCCCTGTGTGAAGCTTTAAGGATATTTTCTTAGTAGTTCAATGATTTTCCGATACATTTTCTCAGTTGCGTCAAGGCCCCAGATGAAATCAAGATGTCCCCAAGCAGGAAAATGCTCATGGTAAATGAGATTAGTAATCCGAGGAAGTAGCTTTGCCATGTCTTTTGGATCTGCAAATTTGTCACGTCCACCGCTCCAAACAGCAATTGGAATGTTTATCTTCTCTATCTTGTAAGCAGGAGGCATAGACTGTAAGAAAGGGAGAAGACCTGAGTGAATGCTGTTGTATCAGAAGTTGTGTTTAGAGGAAGGATTCTGTGCAAGCACCTCTCTCCCTCCTGCACTCGCTCTAAAAAAACAGTAAGGATGAAGGCCGCCCTCTTAGCGTTTATTGCCCGAACCCATTTCCTGTTGACTATAAAAAGGAATTATCTATTCTATCCCTGGGTTTTTCCTTAATGAATGGCTAAGAGTGTCGTCCGTTTTGACCCCTGCTTGTGCCCTTCAGAGGTGGGGATATTGAAACAGCCATGTCTGTGTGTATCAGGCAAGGACTGCAGAGTTGTTCATGTGTGTCCCATTGTTGCCTTATGTAGGATCCTCTTCATGATTTTATGGGGCATAGAATGAAAGACTTTTAGTTGTATGGTTCCAGACTTCACTTGACACTGTCTCGAGGTCACAGTGTTGCTACTGATGGAGTGATAGCCTGTGAGCATACTTGCCTTAAGTATCATCACAGAGAAAATCAAAGAAACACAGAAGAGTAGAATGGTGATCTTCTGAGACCTGAGCCAAATGACTTAATGTAGGATGGTTATTTTTCTACAGGGTGGTAAGGGACCATGCACAAGATGCTTTTAAATTGACCCCTATTATCTAAGAGTGGTTCTGTTATTTTTCTCATTGACTGCTTTTTGAGGGCAGTTTCCTAACCATCCAAAGTATTGGGAATAGAACATTGACCATTCCAAAACTCAAACTTCAATATTTAAAGACCATACGTGCGGATGGAAGGTGTCTGAGAAATCTTTGGAGTCTTTCTCGACCTGTAAAATAATATGCCACCCATGAAATAACCTGCCCTGACTCAGAAAAGCTCTCTAGAATTCAACTGATCCGATCAAATCTGAAAAAATTCTCAAACATGCTTTCAGTGTTGCAGGAGGAGCACAGCATTTCTGAGTGCTGACTAGGCAGTAATCAAAGCTCCTAGTGACCAAGTTTTGTCTGTTTCTTTTTTTCTGAACAGGGTACATTAGTTCCCCACAACAGTGGTCTGGGCTGTGCTGTGCTGAATCATCCCTTCTTTTATTTTTGCTATAAGTAGCTTCCCAAAACCAAGGTATACATTTCCACATTCCCTCACCCTTCTCCAATCTAGTGTTTAAGTGGAAGGTAGACTTTGAGGATTTTGGGGGAAGTGAAGAGCTCCATACTCATCCAGTCCTAGGACCTGAGTGTGGCTCTTAGCATTTTGGGAATGGCAGGTAAATGGACATGTTCTTGGACACATCCCTGCATCAGTAGGGGACGCAAAACTAACAACTTCTGTTAGCTGTCTGCAAGGATCTGTCCATGCCTTGTCTGCGAACAGACTTTCACACTTACAAGTATTAGATTTCGGTGAAACATTATCTCAGACCACTCTCCCCCTCTTTCTGTAGCTCTCAGAGTGCTAAAATCTGATTTTTTTCTCTTCTTAGTTTTGCCAGAACATGAGGATGAATTCTCAGGGAAACCATATCGCCTTACCTGGTTGTATTTCTTCATGTTTTCCTTAGAGCCATAGTCATAAGCTTGAAATTGGTCTGCACGTGTTAGCTATGAATATTATAACAAGGACAGATAAAATGAAAGTGTTAAGAGACAGAGTAGAGTGCAGAAGGCATTTTTCTGCCTGTGATTGAAGCCAAGGCTCAGACAGTAGACAGGCTTCCAGGGATACTGAGGGTGGATTGTAGGGTGAATGGCTTCATCGCCTTTCCCATTGCTAACATTCTCTCCTGATCCTCAGCCACCACCCTTGGTATGTTTTGTTATTAAAATTTTGCTTGACTATCTTAGTTAGCTAAAGTTGGAGTGCCTGTTTGTGATGTAGAAGTGTGTCAGGACTTTTACTAGTCTAGTGTAACATATGACAGATACCTTCTCACACACTTTGACTTTTGTGTATCAGTTTTGTCTGGTCTCCTCACAGCAGTGGTGACGTTTGCAGAGGCTCTGTACTTCTTACAAGAATTTGGCTATTGGGAGCAGGGTGTGATTGGCTTAACACTAAACCATTGTCTTTTTAAATGTGCTTTGTCTAAAAGGAAAAAAAAATAATAAAAGATGAATCTGTCTTACTGAAAATGTGCCTGCATGTTTTTTTTTTTTATCCAAACCTTTAAGTAAGTCACGATATGCTAGAAATCTGCTAGCTTGACTCTGTTTTCTGGTTCTGAGTGCTGGTGGCCTGGATCCTGGGAATTTTAGTCAAGGACGTGTGGAGAAGCATGCACATATTTAAGTGCTGGCAGAAGTGGCCACAATTCTGTGCACATACAGTCGAGTGTTTTGAAGCCGAAACACTCTTGCCCTGGTTTGATTAGGAGCATAGGCAGAGCAAGCTTAGGTCTGAGAGTGGTGTAAGATGCCAGGAGAAGAGACAGTTCCTCCCTTGCCACTTGTGCCAGCAGAAGTGCTTGTGTGGTGAACTGACTTTGGGGAGTGATCCAGGCTGCAATTAACCCTCTGGGAGAAAAGCTGTAACCTGGATCACTTCTTTGTCTGGATTATCCTGTAGATGCTCAAGTTTCCACTATCCTCCTACTGCCTGCCAAGTGTCCAGACTGTGCTTATGTTCACTTCTGCAGCTCTCAAGGCAAATGTCTTCAGAAATAAAGGTGAAGGCTGGAAGCCATTAGAGCCCAACATGCAGAGAGGCATGATGTGCCCTGGGGAAATCTCAGTGCCTGATACCAAAGGGGCAATCCAGGTAATGGTCTGGTGAGCCATGGGAAACAGTGCTCCCTCTGTGATAGGTGCTCATGGCAGCATGTGAGAAGATGTGAGGGGCAGTTTCCCTGATCCACCACGTCCGGACTTCCCTGGAGGCTGTCAGATGCATAAAAAGCAGTAGTAAGGGTCTATTTATAAATCAGTGTGCATTATACCTGATGCCAATGAATAACGTTCTGTACTGACATTCCAGCAGGGTAATGTCCTACGTACGTATCTATTCGACTCTGGAGAGAAAGCAGAAGTGTTATTAAGGCAGGGATCCAGTGCTGTGACAGAATAAAGCTGTGAAGGACCTGAGCAACATTCTGCTACTGTGTTAAGACTCCATTTTAATAGGATATTCTTCAAATGTGAAAAAGAAAGTTGAGGATAGCCTCACAAATACGTGAGTTTACAGTGGGAATGAATACGTGGAATTTTGTACCTTTGGGAAAGTCTTTCCCAAAGTCATACGGAAAACATCATTTGGGGAATGTGTATGGCCTTTGCTTTTCCCATTTTCTATGATGCTTTTAAATAGTGCTGTTCTTAATCAGTAGAGGATTGTTAATAGACTGTTTGCTTGAGCATAGTGAATCTACATGTTTGAGAGCTTTTTATGGGAACACTTGTTCAATAGTATGAGAGACCAAAGGCCACTGGAGAACAGACATGTGGAAGGTCTGCAAGAAAAAAAGGTAGCGGTCAGATTAAAGAAATGAGATCTTGCCATTGAGAGAAGTATGAAGAAACAGCTTTGAGTTTTGGCTGGAAATGTTTAGTTTCTTTTCGGTTGCTACATATAAATCTCATATGTTCAGATGATCTGGATGTCTTTCTATTTAGGAAGGAAATACAAATTGTGCAAAAGAAAAAAAAAAAGATCTTCCTTCATCCATTTGTCCATTTTAAAAAGCTTTAGTATCTATCCAACTTTTCTTTGGCTTAGCCTCCAAAGAGGGGACACTGAGAGAAATCATTGCAAGGTGGAACCATTCTAAATTCAGTCTTTCCGTGTGTGATTTGAGTGTGTCAGGTGACACATCTCATCATTAGCCGAGGTCCTAGTTGGCATTACTTGAAACCACCCTTGCATTTCCCTATGTCCCTGCAACTGTATGTAGACATAAGGCAGAAAAACTGTCTTTCTTCAAAATTACTTTAGCTTTACTTATATTCAGGTGTTCTTGAACATGCTTACCACATTCAGGTTTTGTATTCTGTCTCCAGCTATGTAGCACAAGATACTGCCACAAATTTTTCCCAGAGATCTGCATATCCATGTTAGAGGTCTTTTTAGCAGTTCATTCTGGCGAAGAATTCCTTTGCAGCCAAGTACTAACTGAGGGGAGGAAAAGTGAAAAATGTTTTTTTCTTGTTGCAGGATTATTTCATGCAGAAAATTGTCACTCCCTCTTCTCTAATAGCCTTGCCTCTTAACTAAGATTGCTGAAACTGCATGCCATCCCAATATCCTTTAAAGTCTGTTCTTTCCAAGAGCACACCACATGATCTTCCTCATTCTTATTATTAGGTATGAGTCTTGGAGGTCACTATCCATCTGCTTTTAGTGCACTGATCTCAGCGAGAAAGGGCAGTTGGCTGCACTCATGACTGCAGAGTATAGGAATTCCCTTTTTGCCCTAATATTTCTTCAAAGCAGGTGCACAAACTGTACTGTTAGCTTTGCTGTTAAGTAAAGAGGGAGCAGATGAATAAGAAGGGTGTAGAGCTGGATACTCTATAGTCACATAATGGGTACAGCTTGGACAGAATGAGGATGTGCCCCTGCAGTTTGAAATAAAGTATAGCATCGCAGGATTTCCACCATTCCCAGCAAAATCTATTAAATTAGCAAATTCTGGCATGGAATAAGTATTTCCCTTTAAATTTCCTTTATCATTTTACAAGTAAATATTTCAAAAGCACGAATGAACTGCATGTCTAATAAAATTAAGAAATGAAATGTCTTATTTGTAGTTTTCTACTAGTGCTTAAGGCTAGATTTAGTAGACTGTTAGACTCCTTTTGTTCTGATATTTGTGAGCTTCCTTCAAAAATATTTGATTTAAACAAATAATGGTGAAAGTATGCCTGTTATCTTAAAGAAGCTGCAAAAGAGATGCGGCACCAAGCCTTGCAGCTCAGCTCTGTGGGAAGTCTGAAGTCTACCAGCACTTTCAGCACTCTGATGCATTACATTCATTCTTAACTCATTACCCCCTTAAAATCAGTTCAGGTTGAGTGAGTCCAGTAGATACAAAGCAGACAATTATGTGTTTTAGAAAGAGGAACGACATACCCTGATCACTGGTTGGGGAAGACGCGTAAGTGTTACCAGAAGACTGGTAGCATGTGTGACTGTGGCTACTGGTCCCAAAGCAAAGAACAGTTTAACCCTTTGAGCCAGCTCAGGATGAGTAGAAAATGCTATAAAGCCTGCAAACACAGAAGGCACCAGTCAAGTTAGTGAAGAGATCTCCACAGATCAAACAAAAAAAAAGCGGTAGGCAGCAAAGAAGTGAGACTAGATTAGCAGCTCATTGGCTATTGTCCATTTCTGTGCTGCAGACACAAGGAAAGTGTTTGATTCTTGCAACTTTTATTTGGGAGACAGAATTCATTCTAAGGATATAGGTTCATTAGTGCATATCTAGATGTTGATATTCTCTGAAATGACAAATTTGTGTAAAGGAGATTTTTAAGGAAATAAATGTATCGATCAGATTTTCTTAATTCAAATTCCCTCCAAAGTTCCCCAAACTCTTTTAAAATAATGAAGTTTTCAGCTTGAAGTCTCTAAAAGACTGTACATGTTTATGCTGGCATACAGTAATATAATATTTAATCTGAAGATTAAAAGCAGAATTTTTACTTGTAACTAGGTGCAAACTGAGGTAATAGTGAACATGCACATAAAGGAAGACTATGGGGAAGGAAGAAAGGAAGGAAAACCAAAAAGGGTGCATCCCATCCTGTTTTCTGAACATGTATAAATTTCTCCACTGACAGTTTTGGTGAGAAATTTGACTGGTTGCCTAAAACATAGGTACCTAAATGCAAAGAAGGTGTTGTCTTGGCCTGAATGATTTGTTCTGCAAAAAGACCCTTAGAATGCACATATGAGAAGAAAGGAAAATAATTGTCTAAGAATGTGGCCACATGCCATTTCCCTCCATTTTATCCTCTGTTTCTGACTTTATTTTTGTAAAAGGGCAATGGCACACCATGACATACATAAACCCCAATATCCACTGATGGATCATCAACAATAACACTTTTATATCCAGGCAGTCCTAACATTACCTGCAGCTGAAGCCTCTGAGTGACTAACAAAATATACATCCTTCTGTCCAGTTTTATTCATGATGAAATACAGCTCTGCTGGAACGTCGTATTTACCTATCTCATCGAAGCTACAGGGAAGAAACACAAAAAGCTAGCAGACAATATGGCTACCACAGTGTGAGTTACTGAATGTCAGTTTTGTTCATTTCACCAGTCAGAACACATTGAAAGACGAAGTTGCACACTTCGTCTGTATTCTTGCTTGAGTTGAGGAAGAGGGTAGAGGGATGCAGCTGTACTGCCAGGCTGCCTGATGCCTTGGGCTCTCTGCGGAGGATGTGCCAGTTTTGATCATTAGCTAAGGCTCTTGCAGAAGTGAATTTAATCATTGCTCTCACCAGCATGGGTTACAAAAAAATATTTCTCAGGTAACATCAGTTGCGATAGATCAGATTTCTCGACTGAGCTGAGCAGTCTTCTCTCCTGTCTGCATTTGGGATGTGGTATCTGGTGGGAGACTTCAAGGTTACAAAGGCCTCCTAGTTTTGGAAGTTTTTCCCCCAAAGAAACCAGATCATGTAGCCAAACCCTTCTTTTGACTCCTCAATATGCCCAGAAGTGGCTACATCTGGGGAAAGGAGTTGATCTGGTCTCCTTAGATGTTGCATGTCCCGCTTGAAGTTAGATTATATGAAAACTAGAAGGGTTTTCATACAATCCAGGAGGAGATTTTTTTCATATAACCAGAAGGGGAAAGGTTCTGCATCCCAATATTAACTGCCCAATCTTGCTAGTGCCCGAAAAGTTGCTTTCCTCAGTAATTCTTTCTCCACAGAGTACCTGAACTGCCAGAACTCTTTCTGGCAGGGCTTAAAGGTCTTGTGTTTTAAAGACCAGGTGTTCCCTCGGCTGTTTCCCATCCAGACGTCATAGCCGGCATCTGCGAGGAGGAAGCCTAAGCTGTTGTTGGGCAGGTTAGAAATCCAGTGAATAGAATCTCCTAAAGTACCATGGTGTAGCAGTACTGCAGCCTTTTTCCCTGAAAAAGAAGATTTTCTTATGCTGTAGTATTAAGTAATGTGTAGTTAAAATTAGAGTGCAGAGTCTAGTTTCGCATTTTTTTAACCTATATACAGAATTCAGACCACATTTCTGACTAGGTGCTCTTGCTGAAATGGCAAGGTGTGGAACATGCCATTGCATGTGCAAAAGGGAAAGATGGGGGACCCATGTAAGAGTTGGCTCTCAGACCTTCCTATGTCCTGTAACGGTGTCACACCTGTATTTTGGCTGTTCCTCC